AGTTATCCTCTGTCCGCTGCTGCTTTCCACTGCTGTGTGGTGGGCCCCTGGTGAAGCCCAAGGTTTGCCTAGGAACGGCGGGGCTCTCTTGAGAGACCAAGTCAGAAGTGAAGTGGGCATAAGTCCGGCAGAATTGCTAGGTCTGGCTCCCCAGGTAACCCCACCACTTCTATGACCAGGAGCAAGCCACATGCCTTCTCTCAGCGACCATCTTCTAGACTTAAAGGTGGACTCTCAGATGGGTGTTGTAAAATTCAAAGACAAGCTGTCTAGGAGAAAACCTTCAATAGTACCCCACTCACCTGGGGTATTGGAGACACACGTGAATTAACACAGAATCTTTTACCCCATGTACAAGGTTGTGGGGGTTGACCATTGGGGAGTCAAAAATTGCTTTAGGTTTTATTTGATCAAGGAATATATTACACATAATAATACTGTATTTAATCATTTTTGCCCTATTAGCTTTTGCAATGTAGTGGAAAAGAGACACTTCAGACTTCATTTAGCAGTGTGTACATCCTTGCCCCAAACTAAACAACCCCAGCCTGTTAGTTTTTGAGTGCGTGTATTTCATCTTTTAAAAATAGCTTACATAGAGCTATTAAAATCCTTTTTTTTTGTGTGTGTGTGAAAGCATCATCCGTTGTTTGTGTTTGAGGAAGGCTGGTTACTGTCAGTAGTTACTGTTTTGTCCTTACCTTGGGGGCTTCTGTCCTTTGCTTGCTGTTTCTGGTGAGCCACAGGAGGATGACGTTTGTGGTCTGTAGTAGAGCACCTTTAATACCAACATTCTGGAGGCCAAAGCCAGTGGAGCTCTGTAAGTTGGAGGCCAGATAGTAAGATGCTGTGTTAACGACAACAAAAAAAGGTGTGTGTGTTTGCGAGCTTGCGTGTGTGCGTGCGTGCATGTGTGTGTGTGAGAGAGCTCACTCGGTGAGCACTGGAGCCGCCGTTGCTCAGTAGCTAAGAATACGTGCTCTTGCAGAACACCTGGGTTAGAATCCTAGCACACACACACGGTGGCTCACAACCATAACTCTAGTTCCATGGGACCCTGCATTCTTTTCTGACTTCTGGGGGCACCAAGCACATATGTGGTGCATATATATATATATGTAGGCCAGACACTCACACACATAAAAGCAACTAAATCTTAAAATGACAATAGCAAATAGTTGAGGGCTCCTACGTTGGCCCTATCTAGCCTGCATTTATCATGGCAGATGTCCTTTAAGCTGGAGCCACAACGTCTCACCCATTAGTTTCCTCTCAGTCTGCCATATGGTAGTAGATAATCAGATAATTAGGGCTGTGAGATTAAGAAGCTACCATCCCAAATGTTTCTACTCGTTGCACCTTAGTCACGGAGACTTATGCCCCGTAGAAGACCTTTGACATTGATTTGAAGTAATTCCAGATTATAGATGCCTGCCTGTACCTTGTGTGAGGGGAGGTTTGGAGACCCCAAGGTGACCTTATTAGCTTCCACTTTACTGAACTGGATTAGTCAAGAACAAATAGCACTGAGGCTCTTTTTCTGTTTGTTTGTTTGTTTGTTTGTTTTGAGATAGGGTTTCTCTGAGTAGCCCTGGCTATCTGGACCTCCCTCTGTAGACCAGGCTGACCTTGAACTCACAGAGATCCATTTGTCTAGGCAGACGCTCGTATGACTGGCTGACCTGGAACTGGCTATGTAGCTTGAAGCTCAAGCTCCTGTCTCCACCTTCCAAGTGTTGTGATTACAGGCATCACCACGTCCAGTTTTCAGAAAGATTCTCACCTATAACTATTAAAGCATAGACCTTTAGAAATCCCACAGACATCTGTAGATGGGCTTGAATTTCCCAGGACAAATGCCCTCTCCCCTTTCAAATAGATCTCCTGTTTGGCTTGGGGAGAGAGGTTTCATCCAGGGCCCTCTGTGAGTAACTCAAGCCAGGAAACTCATAGTTAGGGATCGCTACATACAACAGCCAGCTCAGCTTCCCTGATGCTGAATAACTCCAGAGATCTCTGGAGTAGACTGGGCTCAGGATCTACCTACTGGTATCCTACCCTTTTGGAGTTTGACTATGTCACTTGAATGGCAATCTGCTGTGCTTCAAAATATGGCCCTGTCTCTCTGAGAATGTCAACCCAGAATTATACATGTTAATATCAAGTACCACTTGTGTGGGTCAACTAAGTTCTAGAATGTTCTAGACATTTTACATAATTTTCATTTGGCCTCCCTAGCACTGCTTCAGGAAGTAGTGTTATAAAATCACAAATGTATGCAATGCTGTTCATTACCCGCCTGACAGCCTATGACATTTCCTATGAATCTGAGTCTCATGAAGACATCGAATCTTGTCGCTCTCATCCCTGCTGAGTTACCAGGGCTTAGCGTCTGGCACGTAGCGGCTGCTCAATACATGTGTGCTAAACGAATCATGTAAGACATTTGCTAGATAGCCCCAATTGTTGCAGATCGGACTAAAGTTCAGAGTAGCCAGGGCACAGTGGACAGTGAGCAGCCTCCAGAGCCTCTGTGCATCTTCCCAGCTACACTGCTGCCTGCTCCGGGAGAGGAGGAATGGCTTTAGGCATGAGGAGACCTCTGTCAGCTTGACTGAGCTCCCAGATGTGTGACGTTCTGAACTGGCTGCTGGGGTGAATGGCCTTAGCCATGTGAACTCCAGTTCACCTGGGCAGTACCATGCCTACCTAGTCTATTTCTGAAGCCAGGACTGTGTGCTTCTTTCTTCCTGAGGTTTTAAGATGATTTGTCAGCCACAAACCCTCTAATTAGCACAGCTTACATTCCTGCGATTGTTTAACCATTTCATGGATCATCTTATTGTTTTAGCAGATGCTCTCTGCCTCCCTGGGCAGGTTTCTGTTCATGGCTTCTTCTAGCGTGTTGACTTCAAAAGTCCATAATTACAGGAAATTTGCCTAGAGGGTAGATACACACACACACATACACACACACACACACACACACACACACACACACACACACACACCTTGATTGTGGTGACTATTCCACAGTCTCACATTCTATAATATATCAAACCATCAAGTTATACTCCTTAACAACAAATAGAAAATTAAGTAAAGCTCGCAGGGGGCTCAGTAGTCAAGAGCACTTGCTGCTCCCGCAACAGGCCTGGGTTTGTCTCCCAGTACCTGCTCCAGGTAGCTTACAACCACCCATAACTCCAGTTCCAGAAGATCCAATGCCCTCATCTAGCCATGATGGGCACCTGCATCCACATACAAACAAACAGGCACACACATTTATATACACGTAGATATAGATAATTTAGAAAATTTAAAGCTCTAAAAGGAATATAATCCTGGGGAAGTTTTAATGAATCAAGGTTAGTGTAGTAGAACTCACATCTACAACGGGAGAATCGCCAAATTATAACTAAATACAGTTTTGTTTGGTTTGGGTTTTTTTGTTTATTGATCTTCCTTCCTTCCTTCCCTCCTTCCTTCCTTTCTTTTTTCTTTCTTCCAAGACAGGGTTTCACTTTGTAGCTCTGGTTGTCCTGGAACTAGCTCTGTGTAGCCCTGGCTGTCCTGGAACTTGCTTTGTGGACCAGGCTGGTTTCGAAGTCACAAGAGATCCACCTGCTTTTATCTCCCTGAGTGTTGGGATTAAAGGAGTGTGCCACCACAATTGACTTGTTTGTTATTCAGGCTGGCCTGGAACTTACTCTGTCACTCTGGCAAGCTTCAACTTTGTGACTCTAGTTCCTTGGCCTCTTTAGTAGTTGGAGTTACAGACTGCAGCCACTAAGCCTGCCACTAATTCAGTCTTAAAACATGTGTGTCAAGATGCACTCCTGCTCTGCTGTACTTCATGCAGACGTGACATTTTGCCTATGTTTAGATAACTGATATGCTTTATTGATTGTCCAAATTTAATTTGGAACTTTTTTTTGTTTGTCATCTATAATGAAACTTCTATCCAGGCATACCCTGTGGATAGCCCAACATAAACACCTTAATTACTTAAAAGACTATGAGTTTTTGGCTTTTATTTGTTTGTTTGTTTAAGTATAACTCAATTGTGTGATTCTCAAGCATGAACTTTTTAGATGAAAGCACACATCTCAATGCCAAAAAGCTAGACACACCAGCCATTGTTTTGAAATGATATTCAATGAATCCTACAGTGGTACAAATGACACATTTACCAATTTCATCTTGTATTATGACTGTGTAGGTTTCTGGGAAAATAAGTGAGACACATTCAAACTAGAATTATGCTGACTAGAAATGCGACCTCTCCCTGATGTCCTGTGACCTTCAAGGTCACAGAAACTGAAGGTGTAGAAGACTGTTACCATTCTAAGCATCTCCGATGAGTATTCCCATATGTCAAACTGCATCCCCCATGCTAGTCAGGGCAATTATAGATTTATAAACTGATGAAAGTGCTTCTCAGGCTTCCTGCATCCTGTGTGTTTGGTATTGATTTTTGCTTGTTTGTATACTCATAGGAACTTGGGAGATAAATATTATATACCAGCCTCAAGCAAAACCATATTAAAATTTCCCCCAAAAGAGCTTACTCACTTCTTGAGATGAAAGTGTCTGTGGCCAACGTGACAAAGGGTCATTCACTTGGGAAGTTTTTCCTACTGTCAAACCTAACGCTTTATCTTCTGATCTTGTTTAAAAGGTAACAGGAGTTGAGAGTTCAAAATGTGTCTTTTCCTGAGTTTACAGAGGGATTGCTAGCTCTGCTTTCTCCTTGGGAGCTGAATAGATACTCGTATTTGTATAAACACCAGTGTGTTCATGGTACTGGATACCAGAAAGGACCAGCCCATTTTTCCTCCCATGCTTTAGAGAGATGAAGGAAAAAGAGAACAGACGTGGGTGATGATTTGCTTCAAGGCTGTCAGGATGGGAACAAACAGTTCAGACACCTTGCAGATGAATTTGCATTCTTGGGGCTGTGGAGAATGATTTTAAATTTATTTTTAATTGCTTTCTAGGTACATTTTGACCAATTTAAAGAAGCACTAATACTTATCTTGTCTAGAACTCTATCCAGTGAGGAGCACTTTCAGGAATCAGGTAAGAGCTCTGACGTTTCTTCTCTATACTCCCCTTTAAAGGTATACAGGGATGGGCTGGGGATGTAGCTCAGTGATAGAGTGCTTGTCTGGTATGCACAAGGCCCTGAGTTCAATCCCCAGCTCTTCCCTCCTCCCCAAAAAAGTTTGAAAAGTTTTCTGGAGGAAAAATGTGCGGACCTTGAAGTATGCCTGTGGAGGATTTGGACATCTGCTCTTCGTAGATGGAGCCATTATTTCCGGAGACTTCTCTTTTGATACCATTACAAAAGCCTTGCAGCTGTTAACACTAAAATGAGACCTCTCCACCACAGCAGCACATTATGGAAGAAGTTATTGGATTATTCCTAGGCAAGTGTCAGATGCTGTAGCAGTAACTCATTCTTGAATGGAGCTATTCTGCTGAATGGTGGCTCCTTTAGCCTTACTTCCTGTGTCTGTGTGAGCATATGATTTGGGGGAAAGTTTCCTGAAAGAAGAAATGTGGCCAGCAAGAGAGAATTCTATGTGACTCCACTGAGCAGAAAACCTTCTACTTAGAGACATGACCACATGACAGTGTGATGATGTCTGTGTGACCCCCCCCCACTCTCAAGTGCATCTATATTTCTAGCACCTGGAAGAACATTTAGCCTTAGTAAAATTAAGTAACTGTCATGAAAGAAGAATAAATGTTGTACCTCATTGATTTTTTAAGAGTTCATATATATATATATATATACATACATATATATATACATATATATATATCTCAAAAGAGAAAAGTGTTGTCAAATATAACTAACCTAAAATGTTATTGATGATAAAATATATTCTAATTTAAGTGTGTTCAAATCTGGCACTGGTTTGTGCATGTCTTACAATCAAAGAAATATGATAAACATTTGAAGGAAATTCTAAAGTCTAGAAACTTGTATTTAAGTATAGAGAACTATGAAGTCATTTTATTGACATGGGCTAGGGATAAAGGTTGACTGGAAGGGGACATCAGGAAATTTTGAGGGTGCTGTAACTTCTGTCTCTTGTAACAGGAGTACCGTGATCATATGAACTTTTCCCACCCATACAGGGGTAAAATGTACTTCATGAATTACACCTCCGTAAACCTGACTCTAAAAAAGAAAACAAACAAACAAAAAGACTATAGTCCAGTCTGAGCATAAATCATTAGCATTTTGTGTAGTCCCTTAGTGTGACCTATTTACATGGAAACAGATGGGAACTCATTTCTTCTCTTCACTGGTCTAGGTCTCCACTGTACTTGTAAAGTAAATTTGGGTCATGCATCTGGCTGGGCTTTACCTTTAACAATGTTTTGGGTTCTGGGTTGAGCCCCTCCACCCCCTTTTTGCTGAAGGTTATCTACCATAGTAAGGCTGTTCCTGGACCTTAGGCTTGACATGGCTCCCTGGATGTTCCTACCTAGCCTAGGGGAGAGGTTCTTGCATTCTTCAGACTTCTCTAGGCTAATAGCAGAATGTCCATAGGTGACCACTGCTGGGACATGGGCTTTTGTTATTTGTGGGATCTCACATATTATTAATATTATTAATTTTTAAAAGTTTGTTACCTTGATAGCAATTATGTAAGATCTGGGGGTCCTACACAGAGTGGTAGATTTGGGCCAATATGAGGATGGAAATTTTAAACAATTTTGTTGTCCTGTGTTTTCATGTGGATTGGGAAGAGGCAACATTGGCATTAACCCACTTAACACTGTCACCATCCTTTCTTGAAAACCCACACTGTCATCTGACAGAAAGCTGTCACTGTAAAAACACAGTTTTGAAGCCAGGCGTTGGTGGCGCACGCTTCTAATCCCAGCACTCGGGAGGCAGAGGCAGGCGGATCTCTGTGAGTTCGAGGCCAGGCTGGACCGACAGCCTCCAAAACAGAGAAACCCTGTCTCGTAAAACCAAAAACAAAAAACAAACAAAAAAACCCCACAGTTTTGGTGACCACACATGAGAAGGCTGTCCCTAGAGTCATGCTGTGTTGGAGCCCAGCAACAGGAAGAGCTGCAGGGTGACTGTGAGCCTGGGAACAGCAAGCTGACAGAAAGGCAGGCTGACGAAGCTAGCTGCAGATGGCTGCTTCTTTACTGCACATGGGCTGCACTGCTGTGCAGGCTGAGGCTGCCATTTGGACCAGTCTTTCAGGACCACACAGAGAAGGCATTTTTATCATTTCATCATGTGACAGAACTCTCCCCATATCAGTGTAATCAAACAGTAAGATCCCTGTGACAGGACATTTCAGCCAGTATTTCAATGATGCTGTTAACCCTTGTCCTAGCAGGATGCAAATCCCAAGTGGAGTCAGTGCCTTGAGTGTTTTATCTACTAGGAAGCATGGGTCATGGCCCATGACTCCCACACTCCCTGCTTTGTCTGCCATTGGCCTCTGTCTTCCTAATTCCCCCAGTTGCTCATGGCTATAAAGGCATTCTTTGCACCAAAACATGCTCCCACCCATTTGAAATCTGAGTCTTCTACCCACTCGGACTGATTGGTTGGTGTAGAGACAGAAAGGTCAAGACTCAAGTGTAGTGTAGCTGACTATCTGAGTTCATCCCTACCCCTCTCTTCATGATAATTGTAATCCCATACATGGTAGACTGCAGCATTTAGGGCTGTAAACAGCCCGGCCATTTTATAAAAAGCCAAATGGAGGCATAAAGGAGGGCGGAGCCTAAGTGAAGTCCCATGAATAGATGGCAGGGGAAGACGCTTATACTGTGTCACCAGCACTTGTACAGAATCCAATTTTACGTATTGGTTTTACATCTGTGTGCGTGCACGTATGTGTGTGTACCCCATGTGTAACCAATGCCAGAAGAGGGTATTTGATCCCCTGGAATTAGAGTCACAGGTCATTGTAAGCCACCATGTGGGTGCTGGCAACCAAACTCCAGTCCTCCGCAGGCGTAGTAAGTGCTCTTAACTGCTGAGCTATCTCCCCAGCCCCTCGTTTAAAGACTTTAACCTTCAGAGGGATGAGCAGGTCCTCAGTCTGTGAGGCCCATCTCAGAGTCTGCCCAGGGGTCCAAGGTGACAGGAGGAAGTGAGCTGCATCCAGTTATGCCTGACAGTCCTGACAGTCGGGACAGAACCGTCTGTGCCCTTGCATCCTTGGGTGCTCGGATCTTAATGCCTCTCTTACCGCATGGACCTACATGCGTGCTCGTCACATCTTCTGAGATCCTAGTGGACTTTGAGAGAAAAGACAAAACCGAGAAGGAGACTAAAGAGACAGGGCTAGGGTGTAGAGGCTGAGAAACCCAAAGCATCTCGAAGTGATAGCAGTGAGATTTCTATAAGACAAAACATCCCGTGTTTTGTTCCACGGGTGTTCCAGAGGAACAGGACCAAAGGAATGGGCATATACATGTCAATGTAGAAATACTGCTTATAAAACAGATGGTGCTTGGACAACCCAACCATGGCTGTCTGCATACTACAGAGGCAACAGCCAGGGAGCCCAGCATTCCCCAGTTAGCACTGAAAACCAAGAAGTGCCCACCCCTGGAGAGTCACTGGCCCCTGAAAGGCCAAACTTACTGGTGTCTGATGGCTATGGAGGGGAGCAGCAGCAGCCATAGTATATCCACTCACAAAGAAGGGAAGGCGGGTGTCACATTCTCAGCTCCTTCATTGAACTTCTTTTTAATCCTGGCCACTTTTGGAAGGCATGGCACAGCACACATGCAGGGTGAGGACCACTCCCCATCACATGCCAATCCCCTCTAGGAATGCTCCCACAAACACGCATGTGTGTTTCCATCAGTTAGAGACACTCAAGTCGACAACCCAACCAAGTACCTGACCCAGCAACAGTCTCAAAGTCTTGCTGATTTGATGCAAAGAACCTGGAGCCAAAAATACTGGCTCAGCATCTTCAATGGTGTGACTTCATACATCACACCTTTATGGTCTTCAACCAGCTGGTATCTAAAAATAGTTGGATTCCTTTCAGTTTTGAGGGTCACTTATGTTGTCTCCTGATGCCTAAATGGTATTATTTAAATCTATGGGGAAAGCCACAAACACTGGCTTTCTCTTTCTGTAAGATTTTACTTAACATAAATTGACACTGTAGAGTTCTTCTGAAGGGCAGATGCTCACTGTGTTTCACGCACTCTGTCTTCTAATAAAAGTCAGTTGCACATAAATAATACAAAGCAAAGCTCTAGGGGGATTTGAGAGGGTATGGAATTAAGTCGTTATTTTTAACATCGTAGTCTTGGGCTCTGCCCTTACTTCTCTTGTGCGATTTTTAGCATCTTCATAACTCTGACTTTTGTAAGACTGTAGGAGTTTTTCCTGTAAAAAACAGTAATAGAGACAATGAAATTTAGATAAAGACAGGACAGTGGACTGTACATGGCAGGGTGTCCTTTGTAGCTCCCAACCTAATTAACAGTGACACAGTGGTGGGACTCCCTCATAGCTGTGGGTGCCATTGAATTTTTATGTCGTGTTTCTGGAATAAAGGAGGGGCAACAACTTGTTAGCTACTTATTCAATTTGTAATGACTTTGGATTACTGGAGGGTTTTTTTTTTTTGTTTTTTGTTTTGTTGTTGTTTGTTTTGTAGTGGAAATGCTGGCTGGCACTACAATGCATGGCGTCAACACACTTCTGGCTTTAGTCTCTAGAGATTTTGGCTTTCTTTGATGCATCTTCCAGTAGGTTTCTGTTGTGGAGTAAATGTTAGAATAATGCAAGAGGCCCACTGAAAATGCCTTTCCTTTGTTGGGGGGAGGGACGCTCAATCTGGTAGAGCCAACTTTAGGAAAACAGGATGAGGCATTGTTCTGGCAGGTGGCAGCTTCTGTTGCAGAGCTTTAAAATTCCGAGAGTCATTCCGTTTCATTGTAGTTGTTTTCCTTACTTTCCAAAGGGCCATAAATGTAATAGAAATGCCCTTTTATTCACTTAGCAAGCACACAGCAGAGTGGGTTTCTTGGGCATTGGGCTAGATCCTGATTTAAGGTGGTCA